CCTAAGCATTTTCCTTGGCAGCTGTGAAATATCAATCTTCTCGACTCGGCTTTTTCTCTGTCATTGTGTACGTCCAGGAGCGACGGTAACCATTTACCATTAGATGACCTATGTTCAGTTGGATAGAAAAAAGTAGACTAATCTTAACTGAATGTCATTGATGACATTTTTGTCTGTGCATATTGGGATATCTTGCAACGCATGAATCACACTGTCCTGATCATTCGTATCGTGAAGAAATCATGTATTTTAGTTTACAAACTAGAATATCATTTATGCAGTTAACATTTATAAGTTTTCATTTGCACCTCTTAACAGCTAGTGGTCCGGTCTTCTTATCAGCCCACAGACGTCCACTGCTGGACATAGGCCTCCCCCAAGCGTCGCCACAAAGACCGGTCCTGCGCTGCCTGCATCCAGCGGATCATAAGATCATCAGTAAGCCGGTCATAAGATCTTAATAAATGAAAATGTGTGTATTCAATATTTACCTACATGTATTTTTCGTTCAATATTGCTGACTGGAATTCATAATAAATTCTAACATGCTGTTTCTTTAATAAGCTTTCAGAATCACGTTCGAACTTTACGCGAAGCTTAACTAAATACAATTGCTGCTAAAACTTTACTGACAAGGGTTTTGTGTAATTCAACTTTTTAGAGCTTTCAATTCAATCGAACCAAGGTAGCTCTTGCAAATCTATGTTTTTTATTTACTTTTATTTTTACTTATTTAAAGTAGTTGGATGATAGGCAAAAGTTACCCGGCTGATTAACGTTGTAAATAGATTGCGAATAGTTATTAATAGTGAGTCAGCCGTGGGTGAATCTCATTGTGATATTTAATTATAAAAAATAGTATTTGATTGCGCCAGCGTCATAACATAGATTTGTAGATAGATGTTTTTATAATAATATGGCAGCTATGACACTTTTCCCTTCCCTTTCCTCACCCATCCCCCGCGCCTTGGATTGGCTAGTACGAGCGACGCGGGCACAAAAGAAAAAGAAGAAAAATATGGCGGATACCTAGCGCGCGCTCCGCATTACAGAAATCAGTTATTTTGTGATTTAATTATTGAGATGGCCTAAGACTTTATTCTTATACAACATCAGTGTCAGTGTATCACAGTGTCGTGCAAGATAGAAAATACGCCAACTGGCTTCAAGCACTTCTAGCAGCCGTGATTCGGACGACTCCATCGTCTCCAGGTACGGCGTTTTCCTTCACAATTTCCCTCGGGTTGTGTTCCTTTGTTTCTTCCCGCCACGGCCCGAGAAAGTGTCATAGTTAAACAACGCAAATACAGTCCACACTCATTTTTGTAATAGATGACCGTTACAATTTTGGTCCACCAACCGCATAGCGCAACCAGTATTCATTACTCCTTTTCAAGGTATCAAAATTCCACTTTTGGGTTTGTTGACTGCAGTTTGTTGTACGATGTAAGCGATCGGATCATTGAGAAAATCATTCATGGAAACGTATTAACTCAATGCGTATTGAACTTTTGGATCGGGAGCATTCGGTTGATTTCTGCCTACGCATGGGATTGGGGTGGGTAAGGTGGTAGGTTTTTTGGTACTTTTTATTGGTACATTTTGGTATTTACTGGTAATAGGACCTCTTGTTTCTTACTGGTGGTAGGACCTCTTATGCGTTCGCGCGGGTAGATACCACCACCTTGCCTATTTCTGCCGTGAAGTAGTAATGCGTTTCGGTTTGAAGGGTGGGGCACCTCATATCTCAAGGTGGGTAGCGGCATTTACGTTGAAGATGTCTATGGGCTTCGGTAACCACTTAGCACCAGGTGAACTGTGAGCTTGTCCACCCATCTGTGCAATAAAAAAGGTGAATCAGGATATGCCCATACGGTTGAACGAGATCAGAGCCCACTTAGTATTTAGTGATTACCGGAACACATAGCCATCACGACTTCAAAGTGTTTGCAAAGTAAATCGATGCCTGCCGGCTGAATCCCGAGCGTATCAAGGTGTGGTATTGCATTGCTAACAGCTGACATGTTGACCATTCACCACCAGGTACGTCGTGCGCTTGTCTGCCTACAAAGACAATTTAAGAAAAATATGTCGTTCGACTTAAGTAACAGCTTACCACTAAGTAGTCGCTGAACGTATCCACCAAACCAGTGCAAAAACTGTCGACGTAAATATAAAAAAATAATCTTAAAATAGAATATAATTTAAACAGAATATATTTTAAACTTTAAAGTGCACGATTGAATAACGAAATACACTTTCGAACGCTTTTTTAATAAAAGTTTGGAGTCGCGTCGAAATAACTTACCGAATAAATCTTTTGATCATTTAAATTTGAGGTATTTACTTAAATACTTTAATATACTAAAGTTTTTCTGTCATGATTAAATCAAATGGTATTTGAGAGTTTGTTGCTAGTTTCAAATACTGGATGTTTATTAATTATATGTTTTATTTATTCATTTTATAGGATAACTTTATCGGTTCATCTACGGCAACTTTAAAGCTCAACAATAACTATGTTATAACGTACTAGCTTTTGCCCGCGACTTCGTCCGCGTGGAATAGTTCACAAATAGTGCTTTATTTTAGAACAAATTTGGTCAGCATAAAAAACGTTATAGTGAGCCAACCTTAACATAATATAGACATATACTATATATTGTACTATATATATTGTATAACATATACAATTTTTCTAATGAAATACGTACTCGACAAATGTTCACGACTGACTTCCACGGTGAAGGAATAACATCGTGTAATAAAAATCAAACCCGCAAAATTATAATTTGCGTAATTACTGGTGGTAGGACCACTTGTGGGTCCGCGCGGATAGGTACCACCGCCCCGGGGGTGCCTATTTCTGCCGTAAAGCAGTAATGCGTTTCGGTTTGAAGGGTGGGGCAGCCGTTGTAACTATACTAAGACTTTAAAACTTGTATCTCAAGGTGGATGGCGCGTCTACGTTGTAGATTTCTATGGACTTCAGTAACCACTTAACACCAGGTGGGATGTGAGCTCGTCCACCCATCTAAGCAATAAAAAAAAATGCTGTCCCGGACTTTTTTTTAGATCTTTTAAAGAGGAACAATTCTGTCGTACATTATTTTAGCGAAATTTTAACCGTTTCTGCAGCGCATGCAGCGGAAGCTCTCAAAAGGGAAAAGCTCTGATTTTGAAACATTCTTTATTGTATTGGTCTTAGCGTGATGTTATATAGCCTATATATAGCCTTCCTTGATAAATATATCTAACACTGAATGAATTTTTCAAATCGGACCAGTAGTTCCTGAGATTAGCGCGTTCAAACAAACAAACTCTTCAGCCTTATAATATTAATATAGATTTTAAGAAAGAATGAAAATCGAATTTGAGTTGTATGAAGTAATATGAAACAAAAAACATTGTTGTTCACCATAATCGACTTTCTCTTTGAACTACTGATCCACGAGTGGCGGGAAAAAAATTGACCTCACGTATTGAGCCCCGAGCTGGTCGGGACAAACATCAAACATTTTCCTCATTCCGAAATAACATCGTGTATTAAAAGTAAAGCAAATCTCAAATTTATAAAGTATAGTCACTGCGGTACAATGTATTGTAAGCCTGCATGATCCGGGACGTTGAAAAGCTCACGTACAGCTTTGAGAGGCTTAAAGGTTTGCGATACGCAACAGCCCAAAATTACGATTTTCTTCTGTTTATGAGCGCCGGAAATACACATTCCTTAAGAAACATTTTCTTCGACCGGGAATATGTTAACTGACTAAGCTAAGCTTTGTACTTGAATATTACATTTTGACTGGTGGTAGGACCTCTTGAGAGTCCGCGCGGGTAGGTACCACCACCCTGCCTATTTCTGCCGTGAAGCAGTAATGCGTTTCGGTTTGAAGGGCAGGGCAGTTTTTGTAACTATACTTGAGACCTTAGAACATATCTCAAGGTGAGTGTCGCATTTACGTTGTAGATGTCTATGGGCTCCAGTAACTACTTAACACCAGGTGGGCTGTGAGCTCGTCCACCCATCTAAGCAATGACAATACAATTTTTTAACAAACGCTCTTGTCGTCAAATGCATATCTCTTAACTTCAAATAACAATTTTCTACAACTCGAATGAATCGTGATTGAACGAAAATACCTAATTCATATTTCGAAAATAATCGGAATCACAATATTAATAATCTTATCTGTTCGTCAACCAAAGTTTCTTCATATCATTCCGTTCCTCTCTATTAACTTCTAAATACATAGGATGGAGAGCGGATACTCAAAGTACTTGAGATAAGACATGTTGTTACAGTGCTTTGAACTTTGTAAATGTCGATAAAAGGCGGTCATTTTGTAGCACGTTATCGAATCATTAACTTATACGAGGAAAAACTGCAACACTACTTTGTTTATCGTAAATATACAAGCCAATTTATACATTAATAGTGATGGAATTTTTGAACAAGATAATATGTTAAATATTAAAAAAAATATTATGTTCACCTTTCCTTACTTGCAGGACTTGTTTAAAACAAAATTAAATTTAATATTAAGAATGCAATTTATTAATGTTGATAATAATAACTGCATCTTGACATCCAATAAATATGCATTTAAATTAATAGACATAAATAATATAATAAAATTTAGATATTTAAGCACATCAAAAAATTACATGTTTAAATTAACTTATACAAATTTTAGACAAGTAGCAACATCGCTACAGTATTTTATACACAATTTCCTAGCTATAAATTTAGCTAAAAAAATACCTGCTTCTATTGAGCAGGAAAAAAATATGACATGTTTTAAGACTTTGGAATCTGCCAAATCTAGTTGTTGTATTTTTAATGTCCAATACATGTCAACACGAATTTTTATATATCACAACTAAATAATTAATGGAATCATAAATTTATTAGCGTGACGATTCAAGCAATTTACAATATTCGCGATTGCATTACAAACCATGACTGTTGATAAAAATTTAATAACGATTTAAGGTTTCTAATATTTCTGCAGCAATTTAAAAATATATGGAAACAAAAACTTGTTGGCATTCCTCCCCCATACGAAGTCCAAGTGATTCCATTTTCTCGGTTCCAATACCCTGTACTCGACAACATTTGTCAACTCGTCTCGCAGTCTTGCAGTATCCTTGAGAACGACCAATTTGTCGTTGTTTCCAGCAAAAATAGCCACTTTCATGGTGACCACGCTGAGATCGTACAAAGGAGGTTCCTTTCTTCCATATAATCGGATATTTTCTTCGGCGCCGGCATCGTAATAGGCAAAACGCTTGTATTTCCCCGACTGCGCCAAATGAATAAGGTTTTTCCTTGAAGTTCCACTGGGGCTATGACCGAGTACAATCGGGAAGAATTCTTGCTCCAGTTCTGCCGTATTGTAACCGGCTAGTTGAAATAAAATCAACTGAACGCATAAAACATATCCTGGCAACCCTAAGGGACAGACTTTTTGCAGTAGCCTCTGGAGAATTGCCCCATCGGGTAAAATTTCTTCATTGCCGATCCCTTCGAATAGGTAGTTTATAAGAGGAGACAGCAGAACTAGTATTTTCGTCGGCAATTTAATATTTTCAATGTGGACTGCCGGTGCTAACGAAATAAAAACCCTGATCTTTTTGTTATATTGTGGCAACATTGCCGTCATCGCGATGAAAATATTGTTGCCCTGAGAATGACCGATACCATAGATCCGTGTCTGGCCAGTGTGACCCAGGATGTAGTCGATAGTCGCAGGTAGATCGTACAAAGCCATTTCGTGGTAACTGAAGTTCCAAAATTCAGGATCTTTGTCGGGATTCAGAGTAACGTGTCTCCGGGAATGTTTGTTTCCTCTCATGTTTCCCAGCCACACGTCGTAGCCAGCGTTCGCGAGGGATATGGCCATTGATCTGTTGCCTCTGATGATAAAAGTATCGGCAGAATCGAAGAGGCCGTGCATCATGAGTACCGGTCGTTTCCTGTCTCCCGGTAAATGAAATAGTTTGGTGACGTAACCGTCCTCTGACTCGACGTAATGTTCCTCGCACGGGTGCCCGTATTTCGCGGCGAGACCGTTGAAGTCCAGCTTAGCGTCTGCTGGTACATTCGTTTTGATCACGTTTCCATCTAGTATTGGTAATTCCCTTAACACAGATTTTTTCGTGAATTCGTTAATTTGCAACACGTCACCTCCAGGCTTTTCCAAAAAGATATCTTCCACAATTGGAGTGAGTGAATAACCAGTACTACTCAGATACAGGAGTATCATCGTGACCATGTGGAAAATTACACTCGTATATACCATAATGAAAATTATTACTACCCAAAAACACGATATTCGACTGATGTCCGTAGTGAAAATGATTTTCCGTTGCTATATCGATGATTTTATGACAATTTCAGTGTAATAACTTAATTTACGACACAAAATATAAATTTTTATTGGTTTTAAACTTACCGTTATAAATGTTAATGTGCATTTAGTCGTTTTTCAAAAAGTTGTCTATTATATGTTTCCTGGTTTGAGTAGCATAGTGACATGTATATGAGCAAATTTTTTTTATTGCACAAGACGACGTGACAATTTCACGGGCCATTTGGACTTCAATTGTTACTCGATTTATGTTTATAACGACGTGACCTTGAGACATGAGTGTATTTAAGCCTAATGGCTACCAAAATAAATACGAAGTTGGAATAGCCTTAATATTCCAACTTCGCACGGACCGGTAGGTGAGCTCACGGGCTCAACCTGAGAGAGTTGCTATCAATAGCCCGAGCAAGAGCAGCGCTTTGCTGAATCTACTACCGGATCGGATACGCGACCTACTGAGATGACCGGACGAAAGACTCAGTGGGTTGATTAGTGTATACAATTACATATTACCGTTCATTCACTTGCTTACAACGTTAGGTTACAAACAGTAAGACTCCCCGCACACTAGGTAGCCAGACGAATATATGGCGTTGTATGGGAGGAACTCTTGGCTGCGACAGCCAATGCAACTCGCCTGTTGCACGACAGCCAGAGCGAGTGTTGGTGAATGTATGTGGCTGATGTCCATCTCCGCGCACTTGCTGTAGCAGGCAAATCCATATTCATTTTGCCAAATTTAGTTATAAGACACAGTATGCTTATACAATCTCGAATTAAAAAAAACAGTCTGTGTATGTATGAACAGTTTTAAAATTGTTATAGAATAAGCCTTTTGAATGCCGTTCTAGAAAAAGAGAATGAATCCAGTGTCTTTTTTTTGATTTGCGTTTTTTATGAGATAAAGTTCGAATCGCTCGACGAAAAGATCATAAGTGGGCGTCAATTGGCTTCTATAACTGGCTGTTCAAATATTTCGGCTGCCGCAGCCAGGCTACCTAGTGCGCGGGGAGCCTTAGACAGTTATTTCTTTCTAGCTAATTCTTTTTGTACACGTTTTTAACGGTTTTTTTTAATAGGTCATGTTTTCTACGTAAAAATATTAGTAAATTTATTGTTGATGAAATGTGAAACGCCACAAAGCAGTGGCGTGACACGAACAAGAATATTGATTAACGTTTACCTTGTAAAACAATTTTGTGCAAAAACAATAAAACACTCTAGCTTGATTATGGAATGAGAAAAGAACAACATAAACAAGTTATTGAACATTCACTACGGATAACTTTCAATAGCTTACGACGAACAACGCAATACAGAAATTCACTAGAAACTGTTTGGTAAATTCAGTCTGTCAGTAGTAATAAACCGTTCAATAAATTTACAAAGGAAATTGTATTGCTCAAAAATCTAGTCGATGATTCTGCGTGATAAAAAAAAATGTTGGAGAGTACTTTGAGATGAGACCACGGATATTCTGAAGTTAACGTGGACGCGAAAATAGATTATCTTTAAATTCACTTTATTCTTTTAGTACATTTTTTGCTAGTGAAATATGCTTTGTATCCGGGAATTTGGGCATCAATACAGTTTCTTAGTGTTTTTTTGTTACAAATATATCAGCCAATCCAAATGAGACTTCTTACCTTAAAAATATCTAAGCAAAACGCTGTAGTGACGCAAGCAAACGCAGTCCAAATAGTACCTTTATCAATTTCATTATAGATCTCATCAAAATCTTGTATGGAAATTCCTATCACGTTTTTCTGGGCTGCCACTAAACGTTTGAAATACAACAATCTTGTGTTTGCGGCACCTTTACAAAAGCTCTACTTAAAGCGTCAACGATAACTCTACAAAGCTTAAACTTAACTAGCGTTACAAAAGTTATAATAATTTATCTTACATAGAACTAAAAACTAAGTTCTATTTGATTTAAATTAAGATTATATGAAATCAAGTGATACTTATTTGGCTTTCATATTTTAATGAGTCTTGCTACGTCAGATACACGGTTTTTTACAATATTTTAATTAAATTTTTACCCTACATAATATGTTCCAATAATAGCGGCAGAAAGGTAGCATATACTTTATTGTTGTAGTTTTTTCAAGATTAGAGCGTAAATTGAAATACTTCATCATGTACCATAACATTCACATACACACATAATATAGATGTAGTACACGACTCTACATACACATTGCTCATTTTGTCGATTATTTCTAAATTATTCCCACGAATTCCTAAATCAGGTTTAAGTACACAGTGTAAATTTGAAATTTTCTTATTTTCCCTTAAATAGGTGAGCGATCTCACAGCCCACCTGGTGTTAAGTGGTTACTGGGGCCCATAGAAATCTACAACGTAAATGCCGCCGCCCACCTTGAGATATGAGTTCTAAAGTCTCGATCGGGATTCGAACACCGGTGTATCGCTAGACACGAATGCACCGCACGTGTTATCTTTTAGTCGACGACTATAATATTACTATGGTAACTTTCGACATTTTTCAGCGGTGGATTTTCGTTAGAAAAATTACTTATCACTTTAAATTTTCTAATTTGCTTGAATGTAGGGTTACCAGATTTTTTTTTATGAAGGTACGTTCACAGGGTTCCTGGCAGCCTTTCCAGTGTCAGGAGGATATGAGGGCAAGCACAGATTCAGTCAGGATGGGTGAGATTTGCTAGCTGTCACCCAAGAGCCTCCGAAGGAGACCTAATAGCTCAGGAGCAGCTGTTTTGTGAACGCATTTATTACCGGATCGAAATCGCCATACGTATTTTTGGGGCAGAAAGTTTTTAACATGCCTTCATTAGCTTGGTATGTGAAGTGAAACTTTTATTACATCGTCTCTAATTTTTTCGTCTGTGTGTTGCATGTCGCGTGACGTCGGCCGCGGAGTAGGGATAAAGTGAAAGGTGCTCGTCAGAGCAGCCAAGGCCAATATGGCGGCGCCTATAATAGTTCGATTTATTTCAATTTTAAGTGCTTACATTTTAACTTATTTCGTATGAATATTAAATTAAGATTAATGATTTTTATACCCCATAACTTTTTTTTTTTTCTATTGCTTAGATGAGTGGACGAGCTCACAGCCCACCTGATGTTAAGTGGTTACTGGAGCCCATAGACATCTACAATAATGGAATATTATTCCAAAATTTTTTAGTTAAATGTTTATAATGTGAAAAATTTTTTTACTTTTACCGTGGTTTCACAATCCTTTTTTTTATTGTATGACCAGTATAAACAGGATTGTAAATATAAATAATTGTTGGCTCGGTTTGTTATTTAAGCGATTTTTTTGCTGTTTTTTTTTCTACTAATTATATTTAAACTTATAATTTCTATAGTTGTCATTTGTTTTGTGCATCAATATAACTAATAAAAAAAAAAAACTAATATTTCTTATGGGCAAAATACATACCGATCCATTTTTTGTTCTGGACAAAGATGGTACCCGTTCCCGTTCAACTGCCGCCACAGCAAGCAGCGGCGCGAAGATGGCCAGAGCAATCAGCCAGAGACAAACAAGAAGTCCGCACGCGCCACGTCGCGACGGCATCCAAGGTTGCCGAAGGGACTGAGTGATCGCCAAGTACCGATCTACTGACATGGCTGTTATGGTGAAGACGCTAGAAGCTACCGCCACTCCTGTAAATAAATAAAAACTCATTAGAGAAGCTTTTTTTTTTCTTTCTACTTTTATCTGCAATCGGCTAAATAACCATAATCAGATGTGTTCCAAGGGGTTCGAGTTTTAGATGACATTACATTAAATTTCATCAATTACAGCAGTAAATTTAATTACTTCGGTCTAAGTTAAAATTTGCCACCTTTTTAAGCGTTTCACATCTCTTTGTATCTCTTACTGTTCTTGTTGACTTCCTCTCTAACAGCCGGAATTTCTAAATAATCGTGAATCTCACTGTTTCTTACAAACCAATGCGCGTTTGAGATAGTTCTATAAGATAAGCTACTACAGCTGAGCCCAGTCAAAGCTACTATAAGCCAGAAATAATCAGTACAAAACCAAAAATATTTCCTGTATAACAACTATTAAGCAAAGGTTCAGCGTCACCGGATAAAGGACAAAACAACAAAGCCGAAAACAATCATCGTTATATTTGATGATATCATAACTAGTCAATGAACCAGAGTTTATATTCAGGTCAGACAGTAATAAGATATTTGTGTATTTACCCCAGTTACGCACAATGAAAACAAGTGTCCCACTTAAAAAGGGAACAGCGGCATTGATGTGATTACCTTCCATGAATGAGGGTGAGCACTTACAATATGCTCATCTCCCTACAATGACAAAAAAGTAATATAAGTATGTGCTTAGTTATTTGCTCTCCGTCTCCATAATAGCGGGAAACTTTCAAACAGAATAAATAAGTCGAACACTATTTCAAAAATACTTATAATGTTTTAGATGTATGTGTACAATATTGTTACACCGGTGTATCGCCGAATATCGAAGGATCTAGTAACATATAGAACGCTCGAGAAGTACAACGCCATCTATTGTCAGATAACGGAAACACAATACTCGACTTGTGTGGAATATTCTCGATAATTCTAAGGATATCGTATCGACTATGAAAGCGTTACAGAGATGGCACGCAGTCAGTCAGTAATCGGAACTACTCGAAGCGAAACAGCGAACGGATCACCTGAAGCGAAGCGGAAGAAGCGAATTGAGAAATTTAAAGTGTTTGTGAGTGTTTTAAGCGTTCTAAGTGTTGAATACAGTTTTTAGTTGTATTTTAGTATGTTAGATTTTTTAAAATGTTCATTTTTACAAGAGGTATTGTAACGTAGCAATTATTGCAATATTGAAAAGCCCGGAGCGAGCATTATCGAAGCTCGCATATTCACGAAATAATTGAACATTAAAAATGAAAACTAATGGTACAACTTTGTCGAATAACTTCGATAATGTTCTGCAGATAAAAGTTTAAGGTGGTCTGGAAAAGCTTGTAAAAGCGTAATATGAAGAACCACCTCTGTAGACCACCACTATAGACGCGCCTATGCTTTAATAGCTATGTTATGCGATAATATTGTAATAACTTGGTATATTTTTGGCGTCAAGGATAGAACTATCAACCGCGCATGACCTCGACAACTGTGAGCTTACGAAACTTTACAATAGGGAAGATCTTAAGCTTTAATCTATTCGATGCTGTTAATTTACAATACACATTTATAACTTAAGGGTTTTTCTGTAATTTTTACCTATTTTTAAGAGAAAGACTGCTTTAAATAATTTATTGAACTTGTTGTCAATTAAAGAGTATATTTCCAGAAATACGTATAACGCAATTTTATAAAAAGGCATCAGTTACGACCTTATGGTTTTGATGGGTTTTTAACCCGTTTTTAATTTAACTCCATTTATCTTAACGCGGTCGGCGGTGTATCGCGTTCCGACCCGGCAGGCTGGTTCTGGCCCAGCGGGGTATCCCGAAACACCAGCGGCATCGCCCGGGCGGCCTGGTAGGGCCGCTGTACCCCCGAGACCGACGTCATTGGTCGTCGACTATCGCCTAGACGACCCGTCGGACGGGCGTCCTCGGGGTGGCACCGCGTGTCTGGTTGTAGTGTTGACCGCGGGAACCCACCTACTCTAACCGGGTTTTGACCTCGGACGGAGATCGGACGTCGGGTGTAAGAGTGCAGGGGAGTCATTTAGTGTGGTAGGGCCTAACATTCCTTAGGCCCGCAGTCTACTCCCAAAACTTTGCAGATCGCCAAGTCCCACTTACTTCGTAGGAGGTTTGGCCACCGGCCTGAAAAAAAAAGTGTCGACCCTCCGCGTAGGAAAAACTAATTTCAAAACACCATAACATTTTTTTATTGCCCTTGTAGTATTTTTAAAAGTATACGACCGTCCGGCCCACCTGATGGTGAGTGGTTACCGTCGCCCATGGACTTCAGCAAGAAGAAGGACATTTAAATTTTATTTCATTTTTTCATTTATTCATTTTCTTTCTATTTATTTCTATTCTAAACAACCATTTCTTTTTGAAGTGAAACTTTATCGACGTAGGGAGGGAAAAAACTAAGTAACGTTTTTCGGTTACGCGCCATCTTAATTTCTTCCGTTACGCGGAATGTTTATTTTATTTCTATTTAGTATTTTATAAACAGATGTCGCTGCACGTAAATTCAACAATTTTCCTGAATCGCGATAACGAAATGTTACACAATTGATAGACGTTCTCGTATTTCTCTTGCTAAATCATACCTACCTGGCGTCGGGATACCGTGATCATGCAGGCGGTTCCCCCGGGGTGCGGCTGCTCCATTGCACTGCGGAGTGGTTGACCCTTGCAATTATTTTTATATTTTATAAGTTTCACTTCTACCGTGTGTGACTTGCACACACACACACATTTTTTTTATTTTATGATCATCGTTACTCATATCTATTGAAAAGATATTGTATACTATAAGAGATGCACGTAGAGACATTTTGTATCTACTTATAAGTAATAAATATTTTATGCTAGTTATATACATTGTAGGCAGGACAAGGTAGGCACAGGCAAGGTAGATGGCAAACGTCCCAGAGGACGCAGTCCCACGAGATGGTCGGACCAAATATGATATTCTCTGAACATCAAGTTCCACAGTGCCCTTCATGAAGGATCGCAATAGATGGAGAGAAATCGTACGGGAGAAGCTGATGCAGCAGGGGAGGTTTACTGGTGGTAGGACCTTTTGTGAGTCCGCACGGGTAGGTACCACCGCCCCGCCTATTTCTGCCGTGAAGCAGTAATGCGTTTCGGTTTGAAGGGTGGGGCAGCCGTTGTAACTATACTGAGACCTTAGAACTTATATCTCAAGGTGTGTGGTGCATTTACGTTGTAGATGTCTATGGGTTACAGTAACCTCTTAACACCAGGTGGGCTGTGAGCTCGTAAACACAACTAGGCAATAAAAAATAAAAAAGGGGAGTCACGACCCTCAGTAATGAGGAAAACGACGCGAGGAGGAGGATACACATTGTAGAAGCATTATTACCTAACAACATGTACTTTTGTCGCAGATCAAGACGAGTATTCCCGCATAGGCTGATGCAGGTGGTAGAAAACAAATATTTTGCAATTAGACAAATTTACTTCTTTTTAGAGAAATTTCAGTCTTATGACCTCGTGCAAACGTAAGCATCCGCACAGTACTTGAAACGACGAAGCAGTGGGAACGCGAATTTTGATACGAGTACCCACTTGGAACAGTTCCCCTATTTTTCAGAAATAACAAGCCACATGAGTGACAAACATAACTTTGCTGACAAATTTCATATTATCAAACAATTTTTTTTCGATTGATACAAAAGTGGCTTTCAGAGAGTCGTATTATAGCCGTCGTAATTTCAGTATTAACAAAATCGAACTCAAATGAAAGTATTATAGGAAACAATCATAAACAGACTTCACAAGAAATGTTTTTGCGTTGTTTCCGAGAGCAAAATCCCAGGATCGTATTAATATTTTAGAAGGTCCGTATATTGTGGCGATCGCCCAGGCCGCTAACAGCACCGCATGTTGTGCCAAACGACTTCGATTTTCTACCAAATTTTGGCAACAAATCGGCTCACATCGAAATATAAACTGCCTCTTATTCAATGGTATTGGCGTAACGAATTTAGCTTTATGGTTAACTAAAGCTGGTATATTCTTTCTTTATCTGTGAAGGCAAATCTGTTTCTCTATGTCGTTTCACTCTTGACTGTTGTCGTTTTCATTATTGATAAGAGATCTATCTATACTAATATATAAATCTACAATGATTTACGGATGTTCCGTTATAACTACTGAACCATGCATCCGATTGACTTGAAACTTGGTATCCATGTAGAAAATACATGTACTTAATGGACAGGCTAATATGTATATGAGTGTTGGACTCCCTAATAATAATGTCAATAAATAATATTGTTAATTTTAAAGGCCCAGTGAAACGGGCGAGTACGGCTAGTTACCTATAAGTATGTAATATTGTTAGCAGATATAGCGCGTTCCACGAATTTTTACTATCCTCCTCGTTCTGGCTTTGATAAATTAGTGCAACGGGTCATCCACCGCCGATTTCTCCTACCTGTCTATCGTATAGCTTATATAGTTCACTGATACTATTGACGAACGTACTTATACGCCCTTCTGCCCTAAAGTGGATACCAAAGCCCATAGATATCAAAACGTGAATGACCAAACCCACCCCAAGACTAGAGATCGACATCTCAGTTGTTTTGTAACAAATGCTCACTTCCACGGTGAAGGCGTAACATCATGTGATAAAAATGAAACCCGCAAAATTAATTGCGTAATTACTGGTGGTTGGACCTCTTGTGAGTCCGCACGCTTAGGTACTACCCGGCCTATTTCTGGCATGAGGCAGTAATGCCTTTCGATTTGACGGGTGGGGCAGCCGTTGTATCTATACCTTAGAACTCATAGCTTAAAGTGGGTGGCGGCATTTACGTTGTAAATGTCTATGGGTTCCGGTAACAGCCTAACACACATACTTAACACAAAAAAATTACTAAATTACTTTTTGTAAACGGTTACCAAATCTAATTTTAGTTAGGTAGTTAATGCAAATTTGTAGTTTTATGTGTAACTGAAAAATATTTATTTTCA